CAACCAGGTAGAAACCTCTTGAGGACATTTTAAGAGCAGTTTGCAGTTGTCTGTTGAAGTAATTCTGGATTGCTATGGTTTTTCTTTACTTCTTGCGTTTGATTGGTCAAGAAAACTGGCGCCACTCTCTCAACCAATCAAACGCAAGATTTCAAACAACTCATCGTGACGGGGTCACTCGTGTTTTCCCGTGCTTCAAGTAATGCGCTTCTTTATACCTCAGCTGTCATGGCAATATTGAGATATTTTTCCCTTTTTTGTGATTTGCTCTTGTGATTACTCGGATTTTGGTTTAACTTCACTCATCAAAAAGCACTCTTACTGTAACCTTCGATACTTATACAAACTCTGAGAGACCAGAGGGCGGAGTGAATACCAGTGAAACCCAACTGATACAGTATACAGTTTTGTTAGAGAGGTAGAGGGAAAAAACAATGTCTCGAGTTTTAGCTCACCTAAACTTCAACTAATCACAAAAGAATGTATAAAGGGAGTAAGTTTCTAAAAAAACTGTGGTGCTGCGTTGGTAGGAGAGTATAAGAGGTAGTTTAGTGGAAACAACTGAGCTGAAAACGTAAATTGGCCACCATATAGAGTCTAAAGGCTGACGTTTCGAGCGTTAGCCCTTCGTCAGAGCGATTAACGATGGGCTAACGCTCGAAACGTCAGCCTTTTAACTCTTTACGGTGACCAATTTACGACGCTTTTCAACTCAGTTGTTAATTAAAAGAATATAGTCTTTGTTTTTGTTGGTAGCGTTGAGCAGAGGACTACCCGTGATTATTTATTTGATCAAGCAGAATATCGTTGTGTTTGTTTCCTTCCTCAGAGGGAAATCCTTGATTACAAGCGTGTGGACCAGGAGTATGTTACTGGACTTCAAGAAAAGTACGTACTCTATCCGTTTAAAAAAGACTGAAATAAAAACACTTGAACATGTATTTGCAAACCGTTCTTCGATTAAATTCTGAAGGTAGTCTTCACTATGATGGCCGACACGGTATCATGACACATAATTTAGATTACGTTCTTTCTTCGCGTTTTTCAGGATTGAAAAGATGTTGCGAGAGAAAATTATGTCTTGGAGACCTCGCTTTGTCACCCGATGGAACAGGTAACGACTGCGTTAAATGTTTCACTGTGTTATTTTTTGCGTGGGAGCTGACAACTGGCAGCCACTGGTCTAAAAGCCTCTGTTTCTCGTCATTTGGCAGCCTTATGGAGATTTTTCTTTCGGATTGTGTGTGAAAACATAGAATGATATATTTATTTTTCCAGCAAGATGTGGAAAAGTAAAAGATATTCTCATTGGAATTATTCGAAGCTTATTATCTTAACCTCAGTAATTGAATTCTCCAAAGAAACATCATGCTAGGTTTAGATTTGGAATGATATTCGTCTTTCTTTGCCAGATATTGTACACAAGCATTCAGGAGTCTTTTAGCCAGGTAAAAAGGAGTTAATTTAACATACAGCAGAATTATGCTATTGCACGTTACGAAAGCAATGAACTTATTGCCTCATCTAAGACCTCGTCCACACTAATGCGTTTTCAAAACGCTCCGTTTTCGTCATATTATAAACGCATCGTTTTCTATGCATCCACACTAGCGTTTTCATCGCGTATTTGACTGTCCGCACTAAAACATTCCAAAACGCATATTTGACTTGAAGTAACGTACCCGTTAATCTGCGCATGCCTGTTCGTCCTGTTCGAATCCAAAATATTCTCAGTCTTTGATATGGCTTACTTGCCTGAGTCTTGCGTTGCGAACCATTGGAGAGAACCAATGCTCTTAGAATAAATATTCCTCTTCGAAGAGTTATCAGCGAAAGGGTAAATAACGCAATATTAAGTTCCGAACGAGCGATTAAACAGGTCAATAATATCAAAAATATATTTGCTCGTCCGGCATATTTGTTTTGATTTTAGACGAGAAGCCCGGAAAAGAGGTTGCACGACGCTTTGACGTCATCCAACGTCGTAGTTTTGAAAAGGCTCCGTTTTCGACCGTCCACACTAAAGCGATATGCCTGCCTTTTCAAATGTCTCCACTTTTTTGAGAGCGTTTTCAAATCAGTTCGTCTTCATTTGGAAACGCATCCGTTTTCGAGCGTTTTTCTCTATCCTTCCCATTTATTACTTTTAAAAAGCCGTTTCATAACATGACCATGCGCAGATACGAATTTTTTCTTCGAGTGTTGATGAACCCGGTTTCTATGACACTTTTCACTTGTGAGTTTGTGAATGGTGCGTTCACTGCGCACGTTGAAGATATTATGTTTTGAAACAGAAGAAGCTAGGGTATTTCCTCAATGTATACAAAATAGAAACCGTTTGGTTATAAGTCCCGACCACTTTTCAGTATATTAGCAGAAATGACTGATTTTTGGGTCTCTCTGTGGTATATACTAAAACAGTTATTAACCTCGGTGTCGGTGAAAATGATAGATGTTAGCCTCGCATATTTACTTTTCACATCCACTTCGGTGAATTATTTATAATTGTTTTAACAGTGTTGTATGTTTTTTTTGTGTTCAGCATGGAACAGAGTGTCAGTAACACTGCTAATGTAAATCATGCGGCTGAGCTGGACCAAATCCTCGCCTCTTACAAGGTGCGTCGGCTTAGGTATCTTAATGAACGTCCTCGCGTAAACTCAGAGTTTAAAAATAGGATAGAATTATGTTAAGATAAGGCACTCCAGCTTTATTAGAATCATCGAGAGGCAGCCCGCTGTTACTTTGCCTTTTAAGGTGAACCAGGTACATGTACCGGATCAATATCAGTACCTGGGCAACTGCCCCCCTACCCCTCCCCTAACCCAACATTAACCCTAACTTGTTATTAATTGACTGTGATCATGATCATGATCACTCTTTGAATATGTCAACTGGAAAGAAGGTGATGAGAATTGACGAACCTATCAGTTGTCTTAAGATAACATCAAGCTATCTTGACCAAGTTTTTGACAGACGTAGGGAACAATGATCATTACTCAACCAATATTGTGCGTGTCAGGGTTAGTTAACCAACTGCCGCCACATGGCGTTTGTAATTATCACTGTATTGACTCAAGTGTTTTGATTCCATTCAGTTGTCTGGCTTTCCCATCAACATGTCCTTTACCGACATGCCTCCGGTATCGGAAGCGGTGTTCAGCACTGGCGTGCACTCAATAGAGGACCCGGATGTAGAATTCGCTTTGGCTGTACACATTCACCCCTACCCCCAGGGGGTGTTTTCGCTGTGGATTTATGTGGGAACCTTAAGAAGAAAAGCTGGTTATTAAACGTGGCCACGCACCTTGTTCCTCTTCCTGGCCGCCTCGGGAGTGGCTGAGAGAAATTCCTTTTTAAAAAAACTATTCAGGAAGGCTCGCATTGTATCAGGCTTTGTACACTGTAGTTGAGGTCATTGTAAATAGTTATTTATTTTTCCTTCTGTGGCCTGCTGCTCTTCGAGCACTGTTACGTAACCTTTTCACCAACAGGTTAAGTTCTGTCCTTCATTTATACTGGAAAAAAGATTTTATATGAAAATAACGACAATAAAGGCTTTTTGAGTTATAAAAGGGTCAGCAAAAAAGCTTTCTGCTTGCAAAAAAGGTTAAAGAAACGCACCAAAATAGAGAAAAATTGATTTTTTGCTGGAAAAGAAAATAGGAACTTTTTCTACAACCGGTTCATTTGAGAGTGAAAGTCTAAAAGTTTGTAAGGTGATCATGGCCTGTGCAAGCTACTAGTATTTAATTTTTTTTATCTTCTTCTCTTTCCTTGCTTTCGTGGTGCGAACAGTTGGGGCATATCTGAAACATTGCGATCTAAGGAAAAACCCGCTTAAAAACAAAAAGAGGGCGGAAAAGATTCGAGAAAAGTTCCCTATAAATTAGGCTTGGGGTCAACATTTTAGCAAAAGAAGTAATGAAGTAATCATGCTTAATTAAGGCATGAATCAAACCACTAAACTAAGGAAATTGACTCAATTCACGAAGGTCCACCATGTTGCCAGATGCAACGATTTTGGCCAACTTCACGAATGTGACAAATGCCATCCTTGCTGTTTACCACGGGGCAATTTCCTCCAATGCGCAATTTTCGCCATTGCGTGCATTTCTTGAACATTTTCCTGGCGCCAGATTTGGCTATGAATAGATTATCGTGTATTTCTGTTTTTTCGTTTCAATTAAGATCTGGCAAAATAATTTGGCTTTGAATAGAATATGATGTACTTCTCTTTTTTTCATCTTTCATTAAGATCTGGCAACATTATGCTATCTGGTGCCCATTAACTTTCCCAAATATGATAGCTTATTGCAAGTAAGAGCGCAAAAAAATAATCGCCCTCTATGAATTAAATCTCTATCTATATATATGATAAACCTGGTGGAGTATATCGGGGAAAAGAAAACTTCGCGCGAAACGTGCATTTTCCGTCGAAAGAAATATATTAAGAAGCAGTGATTTTGAATCACTGCATATGAATATTCATTTTTGCTTTGTGCGCCTGTCTTGGGTGTAATCAAGAGAAAATTATTATTTTCTCATGGTATGACACGTTAACAATGCGCAAGGTAGGTGAAGTTTCTCGAATCACGTTTCTTTGAAATTACGTTGTGGTTTATCTCGCTTTTGTCTCTGCTCTCTTATTTATATGTGCTGGAAAAGCTTTTCGACTCGGACTAAAAGCTAAAATAAGATTTTAACATTTTGTATGGCCTTTGACACTTGCCTTGTGTAGGATTCGAAGGTCTTTTGTTTCAGATGCAAAGACGTCGATTGTTGACAGGTCAAAGTGATTCATTCAAATTAATCTAAAAGCTACCTTTTTGTTTTGGTGGTAACCATTTATTTTCCGGTGCACTCCTTAAATGGCGTATCACGAGGTTTTGCGCTAAAAAAAGCCTTTTATATTATCTGACTCAGCAGACTTAGCAAAACATTTGTCAATTTGCTAAACGCAGACTGAGTCAATGTATATTTGACTTTTATCTGTCTGATGCGGAGTCGCAAACCTTCAGATCAGGACCGGTAAGTTTTTCAGAGAACACAAAGTTTGTCCAATTCAACTCTGTCCGATTGATAGTATCATTAACGGATTTTTTTTAACTCGACTGACCCTTTTTCCATGCGATACGAAGCACTTTCAACAAGTCCATACCGTTAAGAGCGCATCCGAGATAACCTGCGAAGTGTAACACTGTTTTTGAGTATTCAATTCGTCCTGCGTCGAAAATAAATTGGATTGACTCAGAGGTAAATATTACTATTATCCTCTAAAGGTAAAATCAAATTGGATGCTACTTGAATGATACCCATGTCGAGTAAATAAATAACAGCCAGGCCAATCTTAACTACATTTTGTTCTGACTCTAACACACTCTGAGCAACTTTTTTAATGGTTTCAAAGAATTTAACTTGAATCGTTTTACGTTTTGAGCAAGTATCAGGCTTCAGTACTCTTAAGTCGGGAAAGAGAGTGAAATTTTTAAAGAGAAAAATGAAGATGTCTTCATTACTGGAAGATAGCGGCCAAATTGGAGATACAGAGAAAACCGTGATAAAACCTTACTTTGCGTCAAAACCGTTTCAAACGCCGTTTCTGAGCATGTTTTTAATTCATACGTTCGTTAGAGCATGCAGGTAAATTTGGTTCCTTGAAAAATTATTTGCAATCCATACAGATTCATAATGTACTGAACGATCGTTACACTTCAGTGTAATTTAGACCAGTTGAGTTTTTTCCTGTCTTCCGGTAATTTTCGAGAGACTAAATAGTTTTTGGTGAAAAGGAAATTTGATTTGATTCGACAAGCAGAGAGGATGTATTCAATTCATGCTCGTTAGAGGTTATTTTCATGACCATGCGCGGTAGAAAGTCTAGAGCCCTTTCAACAAGCCCATTACACTTCTCTTGAGCTTTAAAATTGCTTCTGGCTTATTGTTCTATTCTAGAATGAAAAAAAGCTACATTGTTTTCAAAGTAATTTCGTGTTATTAAGTGTTCCATTCTGTTGCACCTGTTCTTGAAAACATTTAGCTCTTATTTGTTGTTTTTTAGTCCACTTCAGATAATTTAAGATACTCCAATATGTCTCTTCTCTAATACATTTATGCCAACGAGTTTGATTGTTTTGTTTTTCCAAAGATTAAAATCAAAAAGAGAAAAACCTACTCATCTCCTCACTACGTCCGTTAGTTGACCGATAATCCAATATACATCTTCTCGAGATATCAAAATCAGTTCAGAAAGCTAAATATAGGATGAAAAAAAATTGGGGTGTAATTTGATTCGAGGTGATGTCTTTTTTTTTTCCTTCAATCGCACACCAAAATTAACTTGTGATAAATCTAGCTCGTAGAAGGAAAAGTCTATGATCCAATTTAAGGCTTGCAACAATCTATACTTCAGCATAGTAAGAATCCCCGATCAGATCTCCTTTGTATGAAATATCATTCATAATCCACAAGGCAACAAGGTTTTAAATTTGTCGTGTTGAAAGTGATCCACACCATATATCTACCTGTGACGTTCAAACGCTCTATTGATTGGACATGGATGAAGGCAAGCAGATCTTACAATTAGCATACGAATTTAGATTCTTTAGAGGAGGAGAGAAAAACATGGAAAGCAAGATCATCTTTATCAGTCCATGAACTGAAAAAGGGAGCGTTCTAATTCAGCCCTTCACTTACGTTTGTGCGGTTTATATTAATAATCACTCTACTGTAAAATTATTTTATTTATTGCAGGTGAACTTTCCGATTACCATTTCTATGCGGCTTTGTTCACCTCTTAGAAACACAGCAACGTGTGGTTAATTAAAAATATTGAGACAACAGCCAACCAAGATGAAATAAATATTCTAATTGAAGCAAGCGCTTGTACTCTTGAAACTTTAAATATCACATTGTTGTTTAATTTCAAATGTAAATAATTTCTCTCGTTCTTTGCCTCTTGAGCACTAAAATTCACCTTTCCTTATTGAATTAAATAAGTTTTCTTAGTTTTGGTTTGAAAGCTATACTGACCTAATGAGATAAAGTGAATAATTTCCCTTCGATTTTAAAATCTCTTCCGCACCTTGAAGCATAAAGATATTAAAGTTGTTAAGAAAAAAAATCTTTTTTCTATTTTTAGAAAACCAACTCCATGTTTCTGTGCACGCGCGAGAGTGAATTTGATTCATTCTCTGGTTGATGGCTTTTATATCCAAAAAACACAAACACCCGTTAAAATTTAGACAGCACTTTGTTGATCCTTTTAAAGATCCTACCGAGTCAGAGTAAATAGGCCTTCTTTTGTCTCTGATTTTAATTTTAATAATTGATCATAGTTTTCACACAACATCTGTTTGTGTCCACTGCGTAGGCTTTGCTGCAGCCGTGCGCATGAAGAGGAAATATTATGATCGCTTCTGCCCTTGTGCTCTTAATAAATAGGCATTAGTCTTACCACCAAAGGTGTAAGCTTTCAGGGAGGTCTAAAAATATGTGTAATTAGAGACTCGTAAACACCTTTTCCTTCGTGTCTAGCGTACATTTCCCACAGTGAAATACGTCGTGAAACGCAGCTTAGGTATGTCAGGAAGGAATTAAAGTTAAGAAATCAGCTGGAAAGTCATATCTTACCGGCCGATATTCCTCAATAATTAACAGTACTCTAGTGTAATAGTAACGGGAAACTTTCGGTAAATAAGCATTAAAAAGAGAGCCCTAGCCAGGTACATTATGAAATTGTCTTAGACATTTAAAGTGGACATATATGCGCTTCTTACGTCTCGCTCTCAATGTGATTGTCCTTGCTCACTATATGTAGAGTTACTAACGCAATCTCCGATATTTTTTTCATCGTAACCATGTTATATCTATACTCGTTAGAACAGTGAAATTGAAGACATAATTTGTTAAAATAAGTTCCTGAGAAGCGACGAAAATGTCTAATGAAAGTAAAAAGGGATTGCATTAAATAGACGGGGGAAAGGAAATTCAACAATCGCAACTAATTTTTCAAATTGTGCGTGAAGATTCTACCGGACAATTGTGCAATACGCAATGCTCAATATCCGTTCATTTAAGACCTCTTCCTTTAAATAAGGAACTTTTTGAACTGTGGGTTGCATTATCCACACTCGGTGACTGTTTATTACAGTTTGGACCCTCAGCTTGAACTGCAATAAACTGAATACGCGCAAAGGTCTAGAGCGAATCTTCTGATAAATAATTGATTTATCTGCTATTTCATAGCAGACTAGGCATGATCCAAAGGATAGGGGCGATATGATGACCACAAGACTGAAACAGAAATTCCTTGAAGGAAACAAAGGCGGGTAAGAAAAGGGAAGCTGGGGTGAGTGAACGAATGCTTCATACGCTGTGGAAATTTATGCTCCATCTTTGCTAGGCCGGAAAAACTTTAAAACGCCACTTTATTTGTTACGGGTACCCGTTTGTCTCTCGTCCACACAAGTTCGGATGAAATTTCAACAAATTGGAGCACTCCTCAAACGGGGTGAATTTGTGAACGCGTATCTTTTTTCTTCGCTAAAACAAACCGAACACAACAATCCAGTTCATAAACGGAGCGATAGGAAACAGCACTGACATCACTTCTCAAATTATGCGCACGCTCGAGGATGACAGCGGCAATATTGTTGTGATTTCGAATTTATTCAGCGTCGTGTAAACAAAAAAAGATTCATTCGTTTTTCTCTGTGTACAGCAAACCTTTGGGAAGAAAACGCTGTTTTCAAAATTTTAAGGAGTAGTGTACATTTCCCTGCAGAGTAAATAGTTACATTATGATAAGATTCCATTATAATACTAGATTTAACAGCAAAAAAAAGAGCGGGGCTCTGGACATTGGAATCTCTCGACCCCACATGCTGCATGCCGTGTGCTGTTACATAACAACAATATTTATTACATAACCATCCCAACACTTGACTTTGATATGTTGGAAAACGAATAAAACATGTTTGCGAAAAGAAAAACCTCTTTCAGTCGTTGAAAAGAAATTGATGATTCACTCACAGATGACATAGCTTTCACCTTACATTACCATTTAAAGAATTGGTCCAAGAGGGTAATGGGAAAATTTCAAGGATCTTCCACCTTTTCCAGATTTTCACTGACCTATATTCTTCAGTAAGGTTTTATCGAAACTATTTGATCCACAAAACTATTGCGAGCTGTAACGCTAGATTTTGTCTTTGTAGGAGAATCTATGCACAACAGATTGAAGTTTCCTTTAAAAAATGAGCGAGATTTGCTCCTGGAGTAGTTTGCTTTTAAAAAATGTATTTTATCCTAATGTTTCATCTCAGCATATTTGTCTAACACGAGAGCCATTTCGAGTGCGGAGAGCTTTCTCAAGTGCAGATGCTCTTACCAAAGTCCTCTAACTAAAGTTCATAGTCAAACATTCGGGTCGAACGAAACGATAAATATAGTGTCTCTAGAGACCTTCACGTCAAAAGTTCATTATACAGAAGGTTTTTTGACGATGAAATATTGAAAGATGATATTTTAAAGCATTTCATTTTCGTTTGACATCGTAATCCAAAGCTTCATTTTATTTTCGACACTAGGTAAGTTCATAACAAGGGGTTTGAGTCAAAATTTCCTGATTTGCAATTATGTTTGGGTTAAGCTGTTTCGATGTCACACTCGGCCCACACTCCAGCTAAGGTGACGACCAAACAAAGAGACCGATATGGATGTATTTGTTGCAGCTATTTAAAAATATTTAAGGGAATACAAATCTCATCGACACCTACGAAGCACTTTGATAACAACATCAGGCAGCTGATCCTTCCACAGACTTTCCATTGGCTTACAGGTGTTCACACTTCACGGCCGACTCAAACTTTTTTTCTTCGATGTTTGCCTTCTCATTTTAGATACTATCGTCTCACTTCTTTGCTGGTTTAATTTTCACCACAGATGAAATCATGGATAACCTGCAACAACTTCAAAATCACGTTAGTGCTGAAAACTCCAGCAAGACAATCGCGAGGAATGAACTGGCGCCGCATTCACCTTGGGGTCCAATGACTATCATCATAGCGAGTTTCCTCGTCATGGTCATATGCCTTGCCACAGTTGGTAACCTTGTGGTATGTCGACTTGTCTGGGTTTGTCGGCGCATGCAGATCCCGTCACTGTACTTTGTGGCTAGCATGTCATTTTCTGATTTCCTCACGGGTTTGCTGGTTTTGCCGCTAAGTTTGGGCTACCACATTAGTTATCAGAATACAGGTAAATATTTTACTTAATCGAAAATAGACAACACAAATTTAAGAGAAGGAAGGTAGGTTTCTAAGAAACCCTGGTGCTGTGTTAGCGGGGGATATTCACGCAAGATAATCTGGTTTCATCAACTGAGACGGTTGATAATGCAAATTGGCTACCGTCCTTCCGCCCTTCGCCGGAGAAAAATTTTTAAAGTAAATCAAAGCCGGACTGTCCAAAAAAGCGTTTCTCTATCTTGAAAAAACAATGGGTTCAACAATAGCGTGGGATGAAAGCTCGCCTTAACTGATAGAAGAAAAAGATGATAATGATAAATCGATCCACCGATTTGTTGAGCCAAAGCTGATCGAAATTATGTTTGCTAATTGCAAACGCTCAAAGAAATTTCACTTATCGCATAGTCATCGCCCATTGCTAGTATGATTTTTGCCTAGAAACGGAAGCCGTGAAAAACGAGATGATGTTGAACAGATTTGAGACTTGACCTCTCACCACATGGGAGACACGATTAAGCCGTCATCGGAAACTTGACAAATGTTCTTGAAGCAGGGGGGAGGGAGGGGGAGGGGGAGGAAGGAGGAGGTAGATGGGTCAGAAACAAGCAAGAGCTGGTTAGACGGTAAATACGTCTACTTTCATTAATTTTTTTTAATAGTTAGGAGACAAACCTGTGTTCTTTTATTTACTTCAGTATACTTGATCTCTAGGTCGATGGACTTTTGGTCGATTCACCTGCGACCTCTATTTATTCCTGAACTTTATTCTGTGCAGCGCCTCCATATACAACTTGTGTGTGGTCAGCGGAGACAGATACTTGGCTGTGACTTCACCACTAAATTATCTGTCACGCATGAACGAAAGCAGAGTCAAGCAAATTATCGGAGTGTCCTGGTTTTGCGCGCTGCTACTAGCCGGCTTCGTCACGTACGGCACGCATGCTTCCAAGGAAAACGGCGTCAACTGTTCGATCTGGGGTTTGCGATATGAGTACTCTGTTTTTGTACTTGTGATAGCTTATATTCTACCGGTATTTTTTCTCGTATTCGTGAATATGAAGGTGTTTCTCATTGCGCATGCTCATATGACCAGAATACACGTGCAAGAGACATCGCTGGCTCCTGTTTCGACGTTTACGGAGAACGCGCTGAGTCCAGAAGGAGCACCTAAGAAAACTAGTCAAAGAGCACGACTGAAACGGGAGATCAAAATATTCAAAACGTTTCTCATTGTCACATGTACTTTTCTGATTTCCTGGACACCATTTGTCGTGATTCTCTTAACAGATTCAATCTCACCTGTTCCGGGTCTTGTCAGACACTCCTCTATCATCCTTTTATACTGCAACAGTGCACTTAATCCATTCATATACGGCTTTTTTAATTCCGAGATAAGGAAGGCATTGTCCGAGACTTTTAACTGTAAATGTATTCTACCTTTTGAGAGATAGTGGCAGAGCGGAGTCGGCCTTGAGCTGGAGACTTTATAAAGACCATTTTGGAGCTTTTTACAGCTTAAAAAAAAGGGGAATAGTGGCATTTTCACAGTGCTGCCTCAGTTCCGAGTTCAGGTATCTACAGCGACAAAGGGCAACAAAAATACAAGAGCCTCTTCGGTTTAGCCTTTGAAACAGGTTTCGATCGAATGAGCAATGAAACAGTTACAACACCTACAGTTCATCAGTGGTCTATTTTCTACGTGGCACCATAGATAATAACTCGCGTTATATTTACTTGATCTACTGGTAGATGATAGAGACACCTTAGAAATAATTGTTTTTCAAAGACAGTTCATGCTGTAAATAAATTAAAACTTGTTTGGAACATATTCACTATGGGGTGAAAAGGTGGGCGCCAATACTTTTATATAAGTTTGCATATCTTCAGCAGTATTATTCCCCTGACAACAGAAAGTCGAGTAATTATTCCCATAACTGCGGTCAATATCTGAAACGGATCCAATGAATAAAGGCGTAATGATACTCATATCAACTTCTAACAAGAATAAACAACTACCTCTCCAACTGGTGTGAAAATGTGCTCGGATACTTGTTAGAGTTTGAAAAATGAAAGCAACGAGCTTTACCCCTCAGTTATCCATTGTTTAAAGACTCAAGTGAACAAGAGTACAAAAGGTGAAACCTGCGTTTTTGTGTCGGTAAAAGTGACTGAATGTAAGAAACTTCATAAGGAACGTGCGTCTGGGTATTTCAAGTTTTCTTTTATAGTATAGTTATGGTGTTCGTGATGCGAACTGACGTGGAAAATCTCGTTTCCAGGGAAACACAATGAAAAAAAAACATCAGTCTACGAAAACACTGTATCGAGTATATCAAAGCCTCTTACTCTTAGTCATTTACTCTATCTCAATGCACTTGTTTGATGATTTTTTTAAGAGGCGTTACGTTCACGTGAAATTGATAGGCGCAGAAGTTGGACCTTACACTGATAACAATGACGGTCATAAGAGCTCACGTACGCCGCGTGTCGAGTGTCAAGTGTATGAGTGGCACCAAACATTTTTCCCTTCCATTGTAAAATTATTTATCTCCTTCTCCTATTTTGAATTAAGATCTCACTTTGGAGACGGAATAAAAACACTTAAATAAAAATGCTTTAACTCTGAAATCTTCCGCAGAGTTCATGACGTAATGGTGTTCATCGCTATGATGTTTCTACTGAAAGTTAAACCACGAACCTTGACTGAATGGGCTCCTGATTGGGAAGAATCATCTGATTATTATAAATCACCATTGTGTTGCGGTTGGTGACCTTGGCTTTGAGTGGTCAAATTCATTTGAGGCTAGGCCTTTTAATTCACTTTCAATAGGGCCAGATAACTACTACATCACCTCGAACAAAAAATCACCATAAGTTTATTAAATTTCTATTAGATATTTCAATAAAAAGTGTCATTGCATCATATGCCTAGAAGATTCAGCTACGGCATAGTACAAATGTTTACATTCAGAATATCTAAGAAAAAAAAGGCAGTACACTGTTTTCATTTTCAATTTTTTAAACTAAGAGAACACTAATGCCATGATGATAGGGTTTCAGCTCTTCCGAAGTAAAGATTTGGAAGCGAGCAGACGACCCACTGTTCCAGCGGATTCTCGTCTTTGAATCGACTGAACTGAATGGCCTCTTGTTTCTTTTTCAAGGCCTCCAGGTTTGTTTGACAGGATGACTTCTGCCAGTAAAGGTTCGTCTCATTGTCGTGAAGAAGACTGTAAAAAGAGATAAAAGATATTTACAGCTTGAAGTGATTTTTTTCCTGATTTTCCCCATTTGAGAGCACTAGCTTTCGTTCTCCCCCCCCCCTTCCCTCCTTACTTGCCAATCTCCATGCGCTGACCGAGAACTGTTATAGAGTGTTGTGATTATTTGAGAAATCACAATCTTTTAGTGTGAAGAATTAAAACTTCGGATTTAACCTTTTAAGAACGCCATAGTGTACGATTATTAAACAGCAATTTAGTTACCGGTAGTTGTTATCCAGAAAGTCACATCTATTTTCTGTAACATTCAGAGCAACTTGCTCAAAGAAAAGCTTTCGCTCCAAAGCTTCAACTTCTTTCATCATTTCAGTGGCTGCTTGATATTTCTGTGTTCCAGGCCCTACGTTGGGGGCGATTCGTGACCTTTGAAAGGCCTCAAGTAATCTACGTAAAATGTCAAAAGAGAACGAACAAGAATAATTAGCCCACACAAGTAATGAACGGTAACGGTAAATTGCACTAGCAAGTACTAATTTTTAGGTTTACAAGATAAAACTCTGAAGAAAAGAAAAAGCTGAGAAAAGGTCTCAGATAGAACAAATTATCCACCTTCTTTGCGTCTACCAAGAGCTAGAAATACTGGTCCCTCTCTTTTTGTCGGAATAACCCAGATGAAGCCCTCCTAGCTAAAGACATTTACATAACTAGAGCATATGGATTCTCTACTCGGTTTTTACGATAAGGTATGAAAGGGAGAAGGTCAAAGAAACGAAGTTTAATCGAGAAAGAATCAGCCACCCCAGCAAACATTACTCGAATCAACTTACTCATTTTCACACTGAAGTTGTGCCTGGAGACGAGCTATGTGTTCTTGTGCTTCTTTCAGTTGCTCTCTCAGTTTCCTACTCGACGGAAAAAAAGTATACAAATTTGAACAAGATAGACGATGTGATCAATGTCCATGGAAAACAAAATCGAGTCGCAAGAGCATCTGAATGTTTTCCTTCGAGCGGAAGAAAAATGTTTACTCACCTCTTGTATTCTTTCTTATCTCTTCTTTTGGATTTGTATGAACTTAAAGCAGAACCCATTTTAAGCTTTTGCTGGGTTATATGTGAACAAAGTTTACGCACTTTGAAATATAAGTCTCTCTGGACAGTATTTTCATGCGAATGGATTGTGCAGATTGTGACATAACAAAAGAGAGTCAAGCGCGCGCGATATGATAAACCAATCAGGTTCAATTTCAGGCACTGTCATTTAAGCGCGAGCGAATTTATAACAACGGCAATAATTTTCGTAAGCTTCGTGTCAAAATGGCGACCCTTGATTAATATTTAGTAAATAAAAAAGAGTTATATCTTTGAAACCTCTGGTCCTCTTACTTTGGCCACAAGCTCGAAAATTACAGAAGTGGTCAAAGTAAAAATAGATTAGGGCCTTTCAGTGGTAACTGGAAAAAAAAAACACACACGCACACACACAATAACGAAAATAATAGGTTTAAAAGTACGTTTCAACTACCAGGTATACCAAAATATGAACTAGGTAACATTTAGTATTAAAGCACAAGTGCACAGCACAGTAGAGCAAACGCTGCTTCACAAACAAAGTATCAAGTGAGGTCTACTGTAATGGAGGGCTGCCCATGCCTCAAACGATTTATCCACTTGTTAAGAGCCTTTTAATGGATCTCAACTACCTTATTACAAGCAACGACTTTGCAAACGTATTTTCATCGGAACCTGTCCGTTCCAACAACATGCGAACTTATATTAAAGCGAGAAATACCAGATGTAACCACAATTCAACTGACCAATGCGCATTTAGTAATTGTTTGCGACCGAGATATCGAGGTAACTGGATACCAATCAAAAGTTAAAACTAGCAAGTGCTGTTGGGAAATGTAATCAACAAAATGGCGCCGAGTTCAAGTTGTAGTTTCACTTTAAAAATGGCCGTTGTTTCATATCCATGAACGCCGAAATATGATCAAAACTAATAAGCCACTAAGGTTAAAAACGAAAACAGGCCGACCTCTTGATGTTGTGCGGGAACACTATTTGCAGAAAGATATTCCTTGCCGCAGTGAAGTTTGTGCAGTTTGCGAACAAGGTAAGTAAGCGTTTGCAAGCAGAGTAAGCTCCAGCCAATCTTTGGAAGTTGTTATCTTAGTTACAGCATAATGTAGTTCAGTATCACACACTTTAATTTAATTCGTTATTTAGGCAACGGAACTTTGCTTTCTAATTCACTGACTCATCACGTTGTTCCTGATTGCCAGGTAAGTTGAGTTTGTTTACCGCACTTTAACTGATCTTGGCCTAAGCGTTGTTAGACTTGTGCAGAGTAAACCTTTCAGCAATATTTCCGTATAACACCATACTTCATTGTGCGAGCAGTTCTTTGATGAAATAAAACTATGGCGAAAGATAGCATTTGAGACGAAGGCTTTGTAGAAGTTAGTAGTCGATTGTAGTATGAAGTTGCATCTTTCAAAACTGTAGCCAGCTTTTTTTGGTTACTAACTCGAAAAATACTTGTGGGGTTCCAAGTATTATGCCCTGACATATCGCATGAACCTTCCGAACCTATGCTTTTCTTGAGGCTTAAACTTTTTCCTGACAGCCATCCATCAAAGGTATTAAGGGTATTAGTAACAAATTGCCAACAGGTCACCAACAGGTTACCAACAGATGGCCGACTGCTGGTCAACTGTTGGCCAACAGTTGACTGTCTCTTGGCCGTCTGTCGGCTGATGGTCAGCTAACTGTTAGCCGACAGTTGGCTGACAGTATCTTTGGGAACTGTTCTTCACTTTTACCAGTGATTCTACAGTGTGAAAAGGATGGTGAGAAAGAAAAAAAACACAAATGCTTTGCAAATGCCCATGCTCCGCAAACAGGCACTGGGCATTTGACGAGGTTTGATTTGGAATTCAAATTGATATCCTTAGATCCTCAGGTATTTAAGTTTGCAAGAATTTACTATTAGTTAATTACAAGCACTGATGTGATGGTTGAACGGTGAAGGCATTCAAGTTTTGAATTTAAAAAAAATGAAGAATAAATAATTGTGTCAGGACAAGAACAACACACAATTAAGCCAAACTATGTGGTTAATTTCCTTGAGTTATCATTCTTTGGTGTTTTATTTCAGGTTTCTTGAAATATTTGAGAGTGCAGAACTTCACGGAGTAATTTTCTTTGAAACAGTGGTCAATTATGTAAGCACAGAACACCTTTTTGTGTATTTTGCAGAATGTAGATGGATATTTTGTAGCAGATAAGTGTTTAATTAATTATAAGTCAATCACTGCACTTGTACATGAAGCACTTCTGTAAATGTTTTCATAGGTCCAGCATCAAGGAGGGAGAAAACTAAAAGATATTGTGAACGATAACAGGCAGTAGAGCATCATATTCAGTAATGAGTTCTGTGATGGGGCCTATGTTCCCAGGGAGCCCAGGAAGACTTTGGAAATTGGCAATGGAGGTGAAGCTATGTTGAGGACATAGACTGATATAAAATATGTGACTTTTTATTTTTTGTTGTTGTTTTTTTTTTTTCACTAAAGATGAGAAGTATGGTCAATTATTAAAAATTTTGTCTTAAAAAAAACCTGGCAGTTTTGACAGCAGAGTGATTTCATAAGCTTTCAAGGCACAGCAATAATTTTTGCAGTCAGAACTTCTATAAGAAAAAGAAAATGCCCAAAAAAAACAATTCAAACCACAACATTATTTTTTTTATTATCTTTTCATATTCATTTGATGTACAAAGTTTTCTAGTAAGCCTTGACTTTTGTTTTGTTGATTTTTTTTTTATCTCCATACTCAAGAGAGGTTCCTTTTTCTTTGAAGGTGCATTTACAATGGTATTATTATAATCATTTAAACCAAGCTATGCCCCTTGTCATCTTAACAGAAGACGAGCAGGTAACATATACACCGTACATTTATAGCTCCATCCCCTCTGTGCATGATGTAGTAGAACACCAACAATTTGGTTTCTCAGCAATGTCCAAGATTTATTTGTATATTGATTTAAAATCCTCAATATACAATATAGAAGTTGATTTAGGAGTTGCATCTTTGTTAGATACTGTAATTAGGCTTAATCATCTCTGAAATTTGCACCTACATATAAATTATTTCTCAAAATGGTCAGTAATTTGGAAGAAAAATATGACAACTGTGTAATGTGATGGGGGCTTCCCCTTTGGTGACTTTTATGATGAACCCTTCATGCCCTTTACATGGCAAATTTTGCAACTTTTGTTTCCAAAACTCTTATTTTTTTCCTGCCAAAAAATGGATGAATTCAATTTCAAACCAGCTCAGTATTGCATTTAATAAACTATTTGAACTGACTAAGTCCTGTATTTGGTTGATTTCAAAATAGATGTAATAAAGTGGTAATTGATCCTCATGTCATGCAATTTTGGTCTGAAATCATACTTGTGATTTCAAATTGACCTCGCGCTGCACGTTCATGTAATTTTGAAATAATGCATATGATTTCAGCCCAAATTGCACTCCACTTGATTCAATTACCATTATTCATCCTTGTACCGTAATGTTTGATTCAAGTGTGATATTGTGTGGATAAACTAAAAGTTAGTCACTCTTTTAAAGCCAACAGATTGAATTTATAATCTAGGTAAACAGACTGGATAAAATTTTCATTTAAATACAGCTAGTTATAAGTGTGTATGTTTTTTGGGAACATTTTCTTATATGTATGTTGGCAGATTGTAGAAAAGTATGGAAACAAGTCAGTGGGAGTGTTTATCATGAGGACTGAGGACTACCTTACTGATTTTTATCCCACTTTTCAATCAATTCTGAAGTTGAACTATTCCCTGGCTGCTGTAAATAATGAAGCAAATGAATCAGGTAAGACTGAGTTCACCTTAAATTTGATTTTAAAAAAATTAATTTATCAGCCTTGAGCACCCTTTCCTTATTTTGGGGAACAGCTTACACAGCTGGAATGATTTCAGGTCAGGGAGTGCTCAATATTCTAATTGAATTTTGAAGCCATGATATTAGTTTCAGATTGATAAGAGCAAGTGAAGATTAGAGTGAGCAAAATAGTGTATGACAAACACCAAGGGAGGAAGGTGATTGGGAACAAAATCTTGGCAGTGGAGCATTTTCTGTACCAACTCTAATGATGAAATGGGTTCTGCACTTTGGTTCTTAGTGTTGACAACCAAATTTCCCTTGTCTAAAATCTCAGTTCAAAAACAAAAGAAAATGATATGCCTTAAAGAAACATTATTGATTTGTTTGTTGTTGTTGGTTGATTTTTTTGAAATAAATTTAAAACAAAATTTCATTTTAACTTTATACTCATTGTAGTGAGTGAAGCATCCACAAAGGAATATCAAGAATACTTACCAGCCAAGGTTCTTGAAGCTGGAATTAAAGCTGTAAGAGAGAAAGATTTTTTAATGGAAGAGTTATTATTAATAATGATGATTAATTTTAACCAGCATTCTGTCACAAATGCTGCAATGTAATTAGCCTTGCTACTGGCCAACTATTCCATGATAGATGTACATGTCTGTATACCTCAGTGAATAACCCTTTAAGCCCCAATAGTGACCAGCATCTAATTTCTCCTAACAATATCACTGCCTGATCAAATGTAAGGATCACGAGAATGAATGAAATGATCACCAAAGATGAAATGGTGTGATTTTTGAACAAATTCTCTCAATCAGTAAAATGAGAGACGTATGGAGAACAGTGATGGGTATATACATGTTGATATTAGGGCTGGAAATGATAAAGTGAGTGGCCTATTGGTGTGCTGTTTTAAACAAACCAAAATGACTCTACTCTGTTTTACATGATAGCTGATCAACTATGCATATCATGCCACAGAAACCTTAAGATTTTAATCCCATTGTTAATTTAGAAATGTCTTTCCTTACCAAGGGTTGTTTCTTACAGGGATGTCTCAATGTCAACAAACATTGTGCACAAGATAAGGCATTTGTTCAAAAGTGAGGGTATGCTATGTTTACTCTGTTGTAAATCTATGATATCATTACATTCAAATGCAGCTTATTCCAGTGCATGAAGTTAAGGTTTGCACTAAACAAACTTGAATACCAAAAGACAGAGGACTGAGGTCCTTGTAAAATAATGCTTACCTTGAATTAAAATAAAGTTTACAATCTCTCATTTCAAACTGTTACACATACATTTGTACATATGCTATATTTATTCAGCTATAAGCTGATCTTGGTAAGAAGTTGAGACCCTCAATGCTTGGAATCAACCTAACCAGCATGAAAAATAAAACAAAAACACCAAGCTTATTTTTCAAATAAATCAATTGCATTACATTATTGTTTAACAGTGATTTTCTTCGTTCTTAGCAAGAGAATGTCAGACAGCAAGGACTTACTAGACTCTGATGTACTCATCACTGGCATGGTGAATAGGTGAGCAAGTGTTTGCAAACCTGCAGTAACTGTCAATCATTGGTCAATATTAGTATTACTAATATTAACAAAAGTGCGACAAAATTTTGACTGAGGCTTCACATAATGCTTGGAAAACCTTTTTTAAGCGATAGGTGAAATGGAGACTCAGTTGCAGAAAAGACCCTTACGGTGGCTAATTTACGTTTTCAACTGAGTTGTTACCACTAAATTACCTGTTTTTCTAAACTAACGGATTTCCAAAACGACGATTTTTTTATTCGCTTTTGAAGAACGGGAATTGCTTTGGTTTCCCCTTTAAGAATAAAACTTTAATCGTTCTTTTATAGGGTGTGTTAGTGGAATTAGAAACACTCGCCTTTTAGGTTCCCTTGGTTCTTTGTACTGATTTATTTTGTTTTAATAAGCTGCCTAGTAGGCGTTCGACATTAACACATGAAACGCGCGCGAAAGGGAGCGTATACGTGGATGAAAGAGAGAACTCCTTTTGTCTTACGTGCGTCTTAATCCAAAATACTTGCATACTATTTTGCTTTATGGACTTTAATGACTACTTTCGTTTCCGTTTCAAGACATTCGATCGAGAAATCGAGGATAAAAACATCTGTCCAAACATAGTCAAGTATTGGGGTCGAACGAAACGATAAATATAGTGTCTTTAGGGAAGTTCACGTCAAAAGTTCATGAAACAGAATGTTTTTTGAAGATGAAATATTGAAAGATCGTATTTTGAAGCATTTCATTTTCGTTTGACATCGTTATCCAAAACTTCATTTCATTTTCGACATTAGGTAAGTTCATAACAAGGGGTTTGAATCAAAATTTGTTGATTTGCAATCATGTTTGTGACTAGTTGTTTCGATTTCACACTCAGCCCACACTCCGGCTAAGGTGACGACCAAACAAAGAGACCGATATGGATGTATTTGTTGCATCTGTTTAAAAATATTTAAAGGAATACAAATCTCATCGATACCTACGAAGCACTTTGATAAAAACATCAGGCAGCTGATCCTTCCACAGACTTTCCATTGACTTACAGGTGTTCACACTTCACGGCCGTCTGAAACTTTCTTTCTTCGACGTTTGCCTTCTCATTTTAGATACTATCGTCTCACTTCGTTACTGATTTAATTTTCACCACAGATGAAATCATGGATAACCTGCAACAACTTCAAAATCATGTTACAGCTGAAAACTTCAGCAATACAATCGCGAGGAATGAACTGGCGCCGCATTCACCTTGGGGTCCAATGACTATCATCATAGCGAGTTTCCTCGTCATGGTCATATGCCTTGCCACAGTTGGTAACCTTGTGGTATGTCGGCTTGTCTGGGTTTGTCGGCGCGTGCAGATCCCGTCACTGTACTTTGTGGCCAGCATGTCATTTTCTGATTTCCTCACGGGTTTGCTGGTTTTGCCGCTAAGTTTGGGCTACCATATTAGTTATCAGAATACAGGTAAATATCTTACTTAATCGAAACAATCAATCAACTGAGACGGTTGATAATGCAAATTGCTACTGTCCTTCCGCCCTTCGCCAGAGCAAAATTTTTAAAATAAATCAAAGCCGGGCTGTCCAGAAAAGCGTTTCTCCATCTTGAAAAACGATGGGTTCAGTAATAGCGTGGGAAGAAAGCTCGCCTTAACTAATAGAAGAAAAAGGTAATAATAATAAATCAATGAATCGATTTTTTGGATTCCATTTAACAACAGCCAAAGCTGATCAAAATTCTGTTTGCTAATTGCAAACGCTCAAAGAAATTTCACTTATCGCATAGTCATCGCCCATAGCTAGTATGATTTTTGCCTAGAAACGGAAGTCGTGAAAAACGAAATGTTGTGGAACAGATTTGAGACTTGACCTCCCACCACATGGGAGACACGATTGAGCTGTCATGGGAAACTTGACAAATGTTCTTGAAGCGGGGGGGGAAGGGGAGGGGGAGGAAGGAAGGAAGGGGTAGTTGAGGCGGGGTTAGGGGAAGGAGGGAGGAGGAGGTAGATGGTCAGAGACAAGCAAGAGCTGGTTAGATTGTAAATACGTTTACTTTCGTTAATTTTTTTTCAATAGTTAGGAGGCAAACCTGTGTTCTTTTATTTACTTTAGTTTACTTGATCTCTAGGTCGATGGACTTTTGGTCGATTCACCTGCGACCTCTATTTATTCCTGAACTTTATTCTGTGCAGCGCCTCCATATACAACTTGTGTGTGGTCGGCGGAGACAGATACTTGGCTGTGACTTCACCACTAAATTATCTGTCACGCATGAACGAAAGCAGAGTCAAGCAAATTATCGGAGTGTCCTGGTTTTGCGCGCTGCTACTAGCCGGTTTCGTCACGTACGGCACGCATGCTTCCAAGGAAAACGGCGTCAACTGTTCGATCTGGGGTTTGCGATATGAGTACTCTGTTTTTGTACTTGTGATAGCTTATATTCTACCGGTATTTTTTCTCGTATTCGTGAATATGAAGGTGTTTCTCATTGCGCATGCTCATATGACCAGAATACACGTGCAAGAGATATCCCTGGCTCCTGTTTCGACGTTTACGGAGAACGCGCTGAGTCAAGAAGGAGAACCTAAGAAAACTAGTCAAAGAGCACGACTGAAACGGGAGATCAAAATATTCAAAACATTTCTCATTGTCACATGTACTTTTCTGATTTCCTGGACACCATTTGTCGTGATTCTCTTAATAGATTCAATCTCACCTGTTCCGAATCTTATCAGACACTCCTCGATCATCCTTTTATACTGCAACAGTGCTCTGAATCCATTCATATACGGCTTTTTTAATTCCGAGATAAGGAAGGCATGGTCCGAGATTTTTAACTGTAAATGTACTGTACCTTTTAAGAGATAGTGGCAGAGCGGAATAATTTTAATAAATTAAAACTTGTTTGGATCATATTCACTGTGGGGTGAAAAGGTGGGCGCTAATACTTTTATATAAGTTTGCATATCTTCAGCAGCATTATTCCCCTGACAACAGAAAGTCAAGTAAAAACTTTTTTAACTATTCCCATAACTGTGTTCAATATCTGAAACGGATCCGATGAATAAAGGCGTAATGATGCTCATAATAACTTCTAGCAAGAATGAACAACTACCTCTCCTACTGGTGTGAAAATGTGTTCGGATACTTGTTAGGGTTTGAAAAATGAAAGCAACGAGGTTTTCCCCTTGGTTATCCATTGTTTAAAGACTCAAGTGAACAAGTGCACAAAAGGTGAAACCTGTGTTTGTGTTTTGGTAAAAGTGACTGAATGTAAGAAACTTCATAAGGAACGTGCGTCTGGGTAAGTTTTCTTTTATAGGATAGTTATGGTGTTCGTGATGCGAACTAACGTGGAAAATCTCGTTTTCAGGGAAACACAAAGGAAACAAAAAAACGGTCTGCGAAAACACTGTATCGAGTATATCAAAGCTTCTTACTCTTAGTCATTTACTCTATCTCAAGGCACCTGTTTGATGATTTTTTAAGAGGCGTTACGTTCACGTGAAATTGATAGGCGCAGAAGTTGGACCTTACACTGATAACAATGACGGTCATAAGAGCTCACGTACGCCGCGTGTCGAGTGTCAAGTGTATGAGTGGCACCAAACATTTTTCCCTTCCATTGTAAAATTATTTATCTCCTTCTCCTATTTTGAATTAAGATCTCACTTTCGAGACGGAATAAAAACACTTAAATAAAAATGCTTTAACTCTGAAATTTTCCGCAGAGTTCATGACGTAATGGTGTTCATCGCTATGATGTTTCTACTGAAAGTTAAACCACGAAACCTTGACTGAATGGGCTCCTGATTGGGAAGAATCATCTGATTATTATAAATCACCATTGTGTTGCGGTTGATGACCTTGGCTTTGAGTGGTCAGATTCATCTGAGGCTAGGGCTTTTAATTCACTTTCAATAGTGCCAGATAACTAACTACTACTACATCACCTCGAACAAAAAAATCACCGTAAGTTTATTAAATTTGTATTGGATATTTCAATAAAAAGTTCAATCACATCATATGTCTATAAGATTCAGCTACGGCATAATAAAAATGTTTCATTCAAAATATCTAAGACAACAAAGGCACTACATTGTTTTCATTTTCATTTTTTCAACTAAGAGAACACTAATGCCATGATGATGGGGTGTCAACTCTTCCGAAGTAAAGATTTGGAAGCGAGCAGACGACCCACTGTTCCAGCGGATTTTCGTCTTTGAATCGACTGAACTGAATGGCCTCTTGTTTCTTTTTCAAGGCCTCCAGGTTTGTTTTACAGGATGACTTCTGCCAGTAAAGGTTTGTCTCGTTGTCGTGAAGAAGACTGTAAAAAGAGATAAAACATATTTATAGCTTGACATGATTTTTTTCCTGATTTGCCCCATTTGAGAGCACTAGCTTTCATTCTCTCCCCTCCCCTCCATACTTGCCGATCTCCAAACACTCTATGCACTGACTGAGTTCTATTATAGAGTCTTCTGATTATTTGAGAACTCACAATATTTTGGTGTGAAGAATTACAACTTTTGTATTTAACTTTTTAATAACGCCACAGTGTAAGGTTATTTAACAACGATTTGATTACCGGTAGTTGTCATCCAGAAAGTCACATCTATTTTCTGTAACATTCAGAGCAACTTGCTCAAAGAAAAGCTTTCGCTCCAAAGCTTCAATTTCTTTCATCATTTCAGTGGCTGCTCGATATTTCTGTGTTCCAGGCCCTATGTTAGGGGCGATGCGTGACCTTTGAAAGGCCTCAAGTAATCTAAATAAAATGTCAAAAGAGAACGAACAAGAATAATTAGCCCACACATGTAATGAACAATAATGGTGAATTGCATTAGCAAGTGCTAATTTTAGGTTTACAAAATAAGACTTTGAAGAAAAGAAAAAGCTAAGAAAAGGTCTCAGATAGAACAAATTATCCACCTTCTTTGCGTCTACTAAGAGCTAGAAATACTGGTCTAACAAGAGCTAGAAATACTGGTCTAACAAGAGCTAGAAATACTAGGTAACCACCTCAATACACAGTCCCTCTCTATTTGTCAGAATAACCCAGATGAAACCCTCCTAGCTAAAGATAGTTACATAACTAGTGCATATGGACTTTTTACTCGGATTTTACGATTAGGTATAAAAAGGAGAAAGTCAAGGAAAAGAAGTTTAATCGAGAAAGAATCAGCCACCCCAGCAAACATTACTCCAATGAACTTACTCATTTGCACACTGAAGTTGTTCCTGGAGACGAGCTACGTGTTCTTGTGCTTCTTTCAGTTGCTCTCTTAGTTTCCTGCTCGACGGTAAAAAAATATAGACGATGTGATCAATGTCCATAGAAAAAAACCGAGTCGCAAGAGCATCTGAATATTTTCCTCCAAGCGGAAAAATGTTTACTCACCTAACTAATAGGTTTAAAAGTACGTTTCAACTACCAGGTATACCAAAATATGAACTAGGTAACATTTAATATTGAAGCACAAGTACACAGTAGAACTTCACAGACTAAGTATCAAATTAGGTCTACGGTAATGGTGGGCTGCCCATGCCTCAGACGATTTATCCACTTGTTAAGAGCCTTTCAATGGATCTCAACTACAAGCAACGACTTTGCAAAATTATTTTTATCGGAACCTGTCGGTTCCAACAAAATGCCAACTTACATTAAAGCGAGGAAATACAAGATGTAAGCACAATTCAACTGACCAATGCGCATTTAGTATTTGTTTGCGACCGAGGTATCGAGGTAACTGGATACCAATCAAAAGTTTAACTAGCAAGTGCTGTTGGGAAATGTAATCAGCAAAATGGCGCCGGGTTCAAGTTGTAGTATCACTTGAAAAATGGCCGTTGTTTCATATCCATGAACGCCGAAATATGATCAAAACTAATAAGCTTCTATGGCTAAAAAGGAAAACAGGCCGACTTCTTGATGTTGTGCGGGAGCACTATCCGCTGAAAGATGTTCCTTGCCACAGTGAAGTTTGTGCAGTTTGCGAACAAGGTAAGTAAGCGTTTGCAAGCAATGGAAGCGACAGCCAATCTTTGGAAGTTGTTATCTTAGTTACAGCATACTATAGTTCAGTATCATTCACTTTAATTTATTTTGTTATTTAGGCAGCGGAACTTTGTTTTGTAAATCACTGACTCATTACGTTGTTCCTGATTGCCTGGTAAGTTGAGTTTGTTTACCGCACTTTGACCGATCTTGGCCCAAGGGGTCCGTGTGTCATTCGTCCGTTCAATTTTTTTTTTAAATTAAAAATTGAAAACTGACGTCAATTCTTTGATTTTCGTTATTTTTTATCATGAAAAATGCGAAAGTGCCAATCGAAAATTTTTGACTTTTTTTCCTTTTAATAGAATATTGAAACGCAACTTATATTTTTAATTTAATCCTGTTAACAATAAAGAGAAAAATGAAACAGAGCGGCAATTTTGCTTTTCCGACAATGTTTCAGTCTGTGGCATGGTTTAGTTTTTCTGTTTTCAGTGGCAGTATAAAAATTGAAAATTGATTGCAATTCTCAATTTTTGTTTTTCAGCCAAAACACTCAAAATAGTAGACAGAACTACCCAAGAGGTAGGGGGTGGGGTCCATTCACACGGTAATTTTTGCCCCCAGCACCCTGTCCCCATGGTCAGGTCCGCTTCCTTGCTTAAAGGGATGGGAATGAAGTGAGAGTTTAGCCTTTAGTCTTCCTCAGTCCTGTCCATTACAGCAAGCAGCCAGTCTTTGGACGTTAGCTAAGAAGTTAAAAAAATCTTAGACTTTGTATTGGAGCATATTGGTGTGGGTAATGTAGCCATATCGACTTTTTCACCATACTGTAAAACGTGGTTGGAAGGAAGGTGACGGAGAGGGAGTTTCTGATACCACCCCCTCCCTAATGGCCTGCCTGGAGTCTGTGAAGGAAGTAAAAGTTTCGTGCTCTTTTGGACTGTCCGTTCGCTGACATCATGGCAAGCAGTAAAACCTTTGATTTGACGAGGGACAGAAAAGTGCTTAAATTATGAATAGCAGCTGGGGATATGACAGTTTCAAGGCTTTGTCAAGCTTTTCAGGCAAGTACACATTGTATCTACATTTGGAGTCTTGCAAAATCACCCGATGACATGACTGCAACAATGCAAAATTAAATAATCTTAAACAAAATTTAGATCGTGTTTAACTGTGGTTACCCTGCAAACAGTTGTGTTGGGGGTGAGATCTTCAACACTTAAAAGAGCAAATGAGAAAAATTGTATTTCTCAGGTGGAAACGAAATTGTTGTACTTAAGGGATGAGTTTGGAGACATGATGTACTGGCTGACTAACTCAGGACAATTTAATATCTTGCACTTAGACGATGGATCTTCTCTTCTTGTCATGGGGGAAGATTTGACCAATTTGCCATCAAACATCCCACAGATAGCTGAACAACATATACAGGGCAATTAAGTCATTTGTTAACTTATGGTGGCTCTCTTACTGGCTCTCAAGCAAGTTCTTCAAGGACACCACTTTTCAGTAATGCAAGACAAAAAGGTGGCGCTCTTGCGAAGATTATTCATGCTGAAATAACACACAAGAATGTGAAGGGACCTCCTATGTTCCAAGAACTAGTGGCAGATACATTTTGGAAGAAACCGCTTATGTAATTTACGTTCAGTCCAAGGCAAGAGATACATTCAACAATTCACCTCTAGTGTTTGTGATCATGCTTGAACAAACACTGAAAACTGATTGAGCTGTTCACTATGTTTTGGTAGAAAGGGAATTTCTGCAAGAAAACATGTTGACCAAAATAAAGATTCTGATGCTGTTACATACGCATTCAGTGTTTAATTCCTTTCAGTACTGTTAATAAACCATGTTGAGTGTTAAAGATGTGTGCTGACTGCTCATTTATTATTGACAGCTGGGAAAAAAATGAGCCTTAACAAAAGACTAAATTCACACTAAAAGCTGAAAAAGTATTTTGAACTCTGAAGGGTGCTCATACAGACGGCTATACAAACAAGGAAGTGAAGGTAGAAAAAAGAAGAAAATAGTGAACAACAAGCACTTAAGTCTAATAAACTTATTTTAT